TTACCTCGATAGTTTAGTCATTACCTCGATGAAAAAGGTATTCGTATTGGATTCTCCCAACACTTGGAAAACTAAAATAAGTAAGAAATAAAATTACATTAGTACAATATAAAGAAAATTAAATATGTGAGTGTACGTGTACGAGTTACCTAAACTTATGTATATATACTTGTATATGTGTAGGTGATAACTGTCAAATTTAATACGAAATACGATCTATGAAAAGACTTTATTACGAAAAATAATAATTTGGAGCATCATTAGAGATGAGAAAAAGTATTGAAATATCATGAAAAGAAGAAAAAAATTAGAAGAAATATTATAAATTGGCCTTGGTGAGATTTGGCGGGAAGCCGAGAAATGTCGACGATTATATTTTCACGGATATCTTTCGAAATTTGTATTTTTCAGTTTTGAAAATACTCACGTATAAAAATCTTGCTTTTAGTTATCGTTTTATATATAATTTGAAGGTTTAAACGTTAGAAAAAATCTTTTAATTACCTGATATCAACGGACGACCAAATCTGCTGCAACTACTATAGATGACAAATTCAAAATGGTGGTCACTTCTCTTTCGCGGTACGTTGATGAAAGATCGCTGTCGTTTCATTGGCTAATTAGCTGATTTATTATTTCAGACTTGAAATGACCAATCACAAGATTCATCACGCAACAAGCTTAATCGGCACACGTACGTAACTCGTTTTTCTCCTACACCACGTTAGTCAAACTCCATATGATTATTTATTTATTAAATAAATTAAATATCAATTCTATTTATCTATTAAATGTACACGTTACTTGTAAATATTTTAACAATAATGAATAAAAAAAGATAGTGTAGACACTGTAAAAACTTTATCGCAACGTACAGAAGAACACAACCGTAAAAAAGAGAATCGTCCGTCTATATAGATATGCATAAAACAATTGATATCTTTCTCAGGCATGCCACCATAAATTATTTCGATAAATAAAAATTTCGCGGAAATGATCTGCATTATCAATTAGTTACCAACGCGCCATTTTCAATATCTTCAGTATTTTTTAAATTTATTTATTAAGTCAATTATCATATTAAGTTTAACGAACGTAGTTATAAAGAAAATCGAATTATTAAAAATACATAAATTAAAAACATATCAAAATGACTTTCTATTGAATGTGTGTTAAAACGTATCGAATGTTTAAACCAATGAATATGCTTTGAAACAATCTGAAATATAATTAAAGTGTTCAAGTTTATACGAAAATTTTTAACCGACAAGTTATTACTGCGCATGGACAATAAACTAATTACTTAAGAATGAAAAGAATGTTAAAATTCAAACGTTATAATCTTGAATTTTCATTATTAGAATTATTATTACCGTTGCACACATGTTCAACATATAAAAATCATATAAACAACTTTCTAATCAACGTTTTGTTGTAGAGAACAATGGTTTTCAGTCTACAGTTGAATGTCGAAAAGGAAGGTACTTCAAAAATATATTTCATACTTTTAAACAATTATCGATACTTCTATCGATTAATTAACAATTATTTTAATATTCTAATACACCCTTCTTATATTACAGAATAATTTAACACTTGAAGTCATCACTGCTCATGAACAACAAAATACTTACTTTAGAATAAATAAAATAATAAAATCTGTACATTTTAATATTGAATTTTCTTTATTAGAATTATAATTACCGTTGCACACATGATCAACATATATGAAGTCATATAAACAACTTTCTAATCAATGTTTTGTTTTAAAGAACAACGGCTTAGTCTATTTCGTGCATTTCGTAGAGGAAGGTACTCCGAAAATATATTTCGTACTTTTAAATAATAATCGATACTTCTATCGATTATTTAACAATTATTTTAATACTCTAATACACTCTTCTTATATTACAGATTAATTTACACTCGTAGTCATCACTGCGCATGAGCAATAAAATAATTACATTAGAAAAAAAGAATGTTAAAATTGGAACGTTATAATATTGAATTTTCTTTATTAGAACTATAATTACCGTTGCACACATGATCAACATATATGAAGTCATATAAACAACTTTCTGATCAATGTTTTGTTGTAAAGAACAACAGCTCAGTCTACAGTTGAATTTCGAAAAGGAAGGTACTCCGAAAATATATTCCGTACTTTTAAATAATAATCGATACTTCTATCGATTATTTAACAATTATTTTAATACTCTAATACGCTCTACCTATATTACAGCATAATTTAACATTTGAAGTCATCACTGCTCATGAACAATAAATTAATTACATTAGAATAAATTAAATAGTAAAATCTGAACGTTATAATAATAATTTTTCTTTATTAGAATTATTATTACCGTTTCACACATGTTTGACATAAAAAAAAGTCATATGAACAACTTTCTAATGAATGTTTTGTTATAGAGAACAACGGCTCAGTCTATAAGTAAATTTCGCAGAGGAAGGTACTCCGAAAATATATTTCGCTCTTTTAAACAATAATTAATACTTCTATCCATTAATTAAAAATTATTTTAATATTCTAATACACTTTAATTATTTTTCAGATTGTTTCAACGCATATACATTGGTTTAAACGTTACATACCTATTAACGTGCTTTGAATAAAAAATAATTTTAATATGAATTTATTTTTTCAGTTTATCAGATGACTGTCTTTAACTTAATTGCGTTCCTGGATCGGAAGGTAATATAAAATGCTCCAATTACTTAGATAGCAAATGAAATTGTATTAATATTCATTAAAATTTCTGTTTCAGAAGCGGTTTAATGGATAGCGGGTAAATTTTTTGTTCGTAAAGGGTGGTACCATTTACGAGTAAAGAATTTACTTCAGGCATGCGACCCTGCCCACGCGAGCCATGATTCTATCTTACTCCCAAGGATAGAATCATGTTCATTTAACTTTTAAGCTGGAACTACCGTCTTTTTTTTCTTTTTTTTCTTTTTTGGCTTTTTGATATGCATCAATAGATATGTATTTAGCATGGGAAACTTAAAAGTTATACCCATCCCCCCTTTTTTCCTATCCCTTTTATGTTTTAACTTTTTTTTATCCCTTCGTTTTCTGTTGCAGATTAGACTATGTTAAGGAAACGACCACCGGTGGTCCAAAGGAGGACCATACAGCATGACCATAAAGGAGGACCATAAAGGAACAAGAAGTGGACTTAATAATATAGGATAGTATAAATTAATTATCTGTATAAATAAAATGAAAATTTTTGTATCTTTACGTAATTCTATTTTTGTAGCATCGCACATGTGTAATCATTATTTTTAATATATTTTCTTTATTTATAAGTTCCATGGAACCACACATTATTGTATACTCTTTTTAATTTTTATACTTTATTTTATGTAGATTGAAAATTATTTATATGAATGTATTTAGATTGTATTTTTATAAGTTAAGTAATACTAAGGTGCTTTAGCTTTATGAATCATCGATGATTCTATTGAATTTCTTTTAAGATTACACTCCTTGTTTATCATTTTGTATTTTTTAGTAATAAAATATTTCTCTTGTATTTTCGATAATAATTTTATGGATTTTTCGGATGGTACTTTTATGGAAGGGCCTAAGAGTTAGATTTATTCCTTTTAATTGTATTCGGATGTGAGCATCTTTAGGATGCACATCCCTCTTGGGTCTTCAGAAGCGGTTACCTCCTCGTGGTTAGACCCGGGCGATGGTATTTTACTTTCCATGTAATGTTTAACATATTTTTATATGTTTTACATTCCATTGCAAGTAAAATCCAGCCAAAGACCGCTTACCATAAACATTATTATTTTAATTAGTTTCTTTTAATTTTCCAATGAACATATTTTTATTTCATTCCTTGGCTCCTTCTATCCATTTCATTTCCAGAAACTAAGTACCTTATAATGTTTGTTAATAACTTTTATATATTTACAGGTAGTCATTACCTAAAATTTCACCCTGTGAATCATCATACCTTTCCTATCTTTTTTAGTATCTTTCTTTTTCTTTATATTAACTATGTTCACATGAGTTATCATTCATTCAAGTGAATTTATTTATCTTTTAAAGCAGAATTATTTTTAGAATATTTTTCATTTGCTATTTGATTTGCATAAATATGCAACTAGTATAGGCACAGAAATAACATGTACCTGATTGACCCTCTGCTATCTGTTAATCAGGTCTTACACGCCTGCTGTCAGCTTACAAACCGGTTCTCACATGAAGCCTAAATTTCTCGTAAAAAAAAAGATTAGATCTGTGGATTATTCCGATCGGGGAGGGGGTGGGTGATTCACTTAAAAAAAAAATCACGATAAGTTTCATTTTAAATGTTTTATTTTTCCCCTTCCCTTCTAAAAGAGGTTATGGTAAATGTTAATATAAAATAATTATTTTCAGAATTGAATGGAAGTATAAAATGGGACGCAGTCCTATCAAAAAGCAGAAGAGAAAATGAATATATTTTAATTCGTTTTTTTAATTTATAAATGATAAAGTTACCTGACTACTTTCTCAGTTGAATTTGTAAATACATGCCATTTTCTGGACCTAAAGTGAAACTTCCTTTTACATATGAGATTTTAGTTGGAGTATTCGTTCCTGGGGAATATTCATACTTTCTCAACGCATTTACAAGGGCCACTTTCAATGCCACTATTCCATATCGTAAACCTTAAAAAAATTAAAACCAATTATAATGCATGTTAAACTTTTATCAGTTATTTGCTAAATATTTATACACAGGGTATTCCAATTGAAATATCTCTTTGATATTTTAACGATGTATATATACAAATGACATTTATACAATTTTATAAATAATAAAATGACCAAAGAAAAATATATATATTTCTTATGACGTATTTTTCTCTTTTTAAATGTAATCAAATTAAACAAATAAATATTCTTTAAACAAATGAGATATTTAGAATTGGATGTTTCTACATAGGAAATTTGTTACATTGTATTATACAAAATACTATATACCAGGACATATTCTTGGTCCCTCCCCAAATGGTAAATAAATATATTTATGTCTTGAACGAATTTCTTCTTCTGAAAATCGTTCCGGAATAAATTTATCTGGTTCCGGATAATATTCAGGATTCCTTTGTATTCCAAGTGTAGGAATTAATATCTTAGTACCTTTGGGTACGACGACATTATAATTTGCTAATTGGATATCCTTATTACAAACACGACTCATAACTGGCAATGTTGGATATTTCCTCAATGTTTCTGCAATCAATAATAATAATCAAATATCATTTGTTTTTTTTCTTCCTTTCTTTTCGATCGATAAGATTAATTATTTGAATAAATAATATTAATTGTTATTAACTTCATAATTACCTAATATAACCATTTGAAGATAAGACATTTCGTTAATAGCATCGTAAGTAATGCCATTGTGTTTCTCTATGATCGTATCGATCTCTTTCCTTGCTTTATGTTGAATTTCTTGATTCAAGGCTAACTCATAAAGACAGAAAGAAATCGTAGTTGATGGAGACTCATAACCACCTATAATATAACCGAAAAAATGTGCTGCCCCTTCTAATACGGTCAATTTTTTTATTTCTTCTGCAATGGTATATGAAATAAGTATTATAAATTATTTTATGGAAGAAACATTTAAATCCATAAGATTGAAATTAATTTATTAATCAAATTTTTGTATTTTCCCTTAAAAAGGTTCAATCGAATATGCAAATTTAATCTAACGCATTAATGTAATTACCTTTGTTTTAATTTTTTTATAATAAATTATTTTAAATCATTTTAACTTATAATATTACATTATATATTACTTACTCTGTTCATCGGATCTTTCTCTATCATATTCGACATATCCGTCATCCATCATTTGCATTATCAAATTTAAGAGATCGTTTTTAACAATGTTATTCATTTTTCGATATTCTATGGTGGCTTTAAAAGTTTTTAAAAAAAGTTTGGTCACATTTTTATGGTTATATTTTATTGGAAGTATATCGAATAATTTAGGGATAAATAACAACAAAGTAGTTCTAAAAGGTTTCGATTTAAACATCGTTCTACCCCACTGTGCAAATTCAGATTTTGAATCTTCCAGACAATTGCTTTCTATCCCATAGGCTACCGCCATTATGAGGTCTATGAAAAAACTGAATCGTTTCGATTATATATTAGTATATTTGATGAAATGTTTTTTTTTTTTTTTTTTTTCTAATTGAGATTATTATCAGTTACGAGACGTTAATTTGTGACGGTATAAATTTTTTTTATTAATTATTTCACAAAATATCAAACAATTTACGACAATTATTAAGAAATTTGTTATTCAGAATGAAATAGCATGAAATTAAAATTTAATGTTAATAATTTATGAAATTAATATAAATATATATCGTTATCACGTTATCTCCTTACCAACTACCAATATCCTTTACATTAATTTCACTTTTATTTTTGGCTTTATCTGCTAGAACTTCTTCCATAACGTATCCTTTGTCTAGAAAAATTTCAAACATACAATTTTTGAGTTTTGCGTTCGAAAAACTAGTCGCAAAATTTGTACGCATAGTTCTCCATTTTTTTCCAGTCAAAAGAAACAAATTTCCTGTAAGCGGATCATCATTTTCGTTGATATATAATCCGCGATCTTGAAAATTTGAAAATTCTTCCACCAATACGAAACGTATCAATTCTGGATCATTGATCAAGAGATTTGGACTGTGCGCCATGAATATACCGACATAGGGAAACTTTTTGTACTCGAAGTACATTTCAGCAAAGATTTCACCTTTAAAAATGATTGCAACAAAAAAAAAGGAAAATAGTTGTGGATTAAGAAAAAATTGATTTTTACTTATGATTATTTAAAAAAAAAAAAATTAATAATAAAAATAAAAGTGTAACAACTTACCGAATGTTTTTCTATTGCAAACAATATCGAGAATTTTTTCAATGAAATACTTTGGTTTCTCGAAAGGTATACCTCTTTTACTCCAATAGTTACAAATATAAAATTTGTAATACAAATATATTCCAATAATGATAAAAATCAAAATATAAATTAGCTCCGACAATATCCAATAAATCGCCATAATTATTATTAGTCGAAGTTAATTTTTCTTTTTCTTTAAATTATCCTAAACACGTGCTGAGAACCATAAGTGTATATTTAATTAAAAATTTTACAGAAGAAATAAAATAATGTTTATGCAAATTTATAGCTATCATTGCGTATTTCTAAGCCAATCCGATTTCCTGCAGTAGTTAATGGTAATAAATAATTAAAAAAAAAAAAAAAGAATAAGAAACAAAAAAGGAAATTCTGAAAAACTTTAATGAAGTAAACAAAAATATTAATATTTCTGTTAATTAGAAATAGAGAATTTTGATAGATACCATAAGGGTATGGTGGGATCCGTGATAATCATAAAAAAAAAAAAAAACAATACCAAATATCAACGATCACAATATCGATTACGCATGAATACCTGTAAACAACTACAATTGATTCGATTAAACTCACCGCAATTTATTTTCCTTCCAACAATAAAATAAGTAATGTAAGATTTTTTTAATATTCTAAAAATATCTTATAATAATTTCGATCACTTTGTTTTTATTTACATATGTAATAAAGGCATACACACATATTCACTTTTTTATATATAGTATATCATAATCTTGTTTAATCTATACGATTACTTTCGAAGCAAAGAAATGAATAGATATTGGCGATAATAACTTGTATTTGCGTTACTAGAAAACCTTGACATGATATGCTAGTTCGTTGCATATGTATTAATACGAGGTAATAATACTTTAAGATAAAAAATATAGAATTCCATTTAAAAAAATAAAGGTAATTTTAAAAAACAATAAAAAACAAAAATATTTTTTATTACAATGTATAGTCAATCGAAAACAGATCGACTTTTGTTTAAAGTATTTTTCTGTCAAGTTATCGCAAGTACTTAAAAAATGGTGAAAAATTTTATATAGGACACCCTGTATACTTCCAATAATAATTGTTCTTTTAATTTAATTTCTTAAAAATTTCTTCTTATAATATTAAACGTTATCTATGATATTAAACAATAATTTTATGAAGAAAAAAAATTGTTTAATAGGTCATTTGAAAGTTACATATTAACATATTATACAACAAAACTTGAAAAAACACCTGATTTATCCGAATGCAAAAAGAGATTATAATATTAAACCATTATCTATGAGATAAAATTAAAACAATTCTATCAAGATGAAAAAACTTCTCTCATAGGTCATTTGAAAGTTACCTATCAACATACTAGTCAACAGCGATTGAAGCAACACTTGATTAATTAGATTTCGTCATAATCAAAGACTTGAATAAAATCATTCTTTGAAATTGAATCTATTTTAGACCTTAGTATTCTGTGTGTATGTGTTTATATATCGATTATTATAAATTATTTAGGAAAAATTGTAAAAACGTAGCACCAAAACCACGTATACTTTGCAACAATATCACATATTGAACAATTTACAAACGGCAAATTAACATAAACCTAAACTGTAATATAAATATAAGAAAATATTTGATTGAAATAGAAACGTCTTGTTTAGGGAAATTTACTATACCGATTCTAATTATAAAAGGCAGTTTAATATACTACAGAACAAATTAAAAATAATAGTGATAAAAACTTCTTCTACCCAGAAAAATCTCTCTTCAATAAAAGAAAAAAATTAAAATCCTTGATACTAAGGAAATTAAAAAGTTAACATCTGTGAAAAGTTACACGTGTAATCAGAACTCTTTCACTTGTCATAAAGTGGTTTTTCGAGGTTCTTGACAAAAAAACAAGCTCATAAGTCAACTTTAACTTATCTTATTAATTCTTAAATGATTTTTCAATCTCTTATGTTTATTTTTTGGATTTATTAAGGATATATATGCAGTTAAACCTGTTTTTTCCTTTTTTCTCTCATACGATTTTTTTTGTGCAATTTTATTTTTATCCTATCACTTATAATTACATAAAAATGCGTTACTTAATATCTTTTTACGAAATAATCAAATAAAAGAAATGCAATTTTTATATTATATATATAATTTTATATAATTTTGTATTATATATATATAATACAAAAATTGCATTTCTTTTATTTGATTATTATTGATATATATATATTTAATAATATTTTATATTATAGAAATATTAATTCTTAATATTTAAAAGATAGGAAATGATAAGAAGCGCTAAGCAATCTTCAAAATATAATTTTGTTTTTTTTTAATTTTTGTTGTTGTGCACATGCTATTTTAATATCCGTTTTATAACGAAGAATTTTTTCCACCAAATAAAAACACAGATTATTCCTCGTGAAAAGCCATTAAAATTTGTAGACAATTATTTGTAAACTAATTTTTTTTTAACTAATTTTTTAAACCAATTTGTCGAATGTCCACAAGTAAATAAATTCCTTAATTCAGAGGTTGTTATGAAAAAACAAAAACAAAAACAAAAACAAAATAAATAATCACTTGGAAAAATATAAATGTCATTAATAGATCTTCAGTAAAAGGTCTTTTTGACCAATATTGAATTGAGTCTTGTTGTTTTCATTTGAAAATACTTCCTACACACAAATAATAAATTTCCATTCTTTTTTTATAATAACAATCAATATTTTATTAGTTAACGAAAAAAGCATAAGGTATTATTCTTTGTATAACACAAGAAACTTTTTTTTCCTATACACGAATTCAATAACATACAAAATAAATTTAATCCGATATAATGGATGAAATATCTTGTCAAAAAAACGTATGATAAATAACAATGCATTCATTTAATATTCTATTTAGAGCGTGACATGACTGTGTTATTGTGTTGATAATTTAATAATTTGAACTGTTTTTTACAATAACACAATATATACATCTTGAATTCGAGAATATCCACACCAATTTGTAATTATAAAATTGAATGGTATATATGTGTCCATAATCATGAAAGTGGTCTAAGTAAAAATTAACAAAAAATGAGTTTATCAGTTATTACGCACCACATTATTTTAAACTAAATAAATTCAATGTAATTTTCACGATATTGTTAAAAATGAATCGTTAGATAATGTTTGTTATTTCAATATTATATAGAATTCATATAGTGTTCAAATATCAATCTTTAAATATCTCGAAACAAGAGATACATTACTTAGACCACTTTCATAATTATGGGCACATATAATAATTTATTTAATAAATGATTAAAAAATTAAATCAGTTAAGTATGATGCAAGTTTCTTGTTTTTTTTTTTTTTTTTTGGATAATAATAACTTTCAATCGATTCAATATTTTAATTGATAAACGTAACGTACCTTGTTCCTTAAGAATTTTTATAATTTTTTTCGTTTTTCTTCCTTTTTCTTTCTTTGTACTTAAAATTTGGAAATGGTTGAAAAACTGAAGAAAAATTTATAGAATAAATTGATAAGTTCTTTTAAATGAATGAAGAATGTTGAAGAGTAAACTCGAGACTGATTGAGAACTCGTACGAGGATGTTGCTTATATATGCTACGTAGGCGAGAAAGATCCATTAAGCTTTGGAAATTATAAACAAGAGTAATGGGAGTTTTAACGAGACTACTAAGATTTATTACTAATATCTGGAATATTATTTAAAAATATAATCTCTTAACATAAGTATAGACTTTAGTTCTTTATTTTCGAAGTTTTAAAAAATTTGTAAAGCTTTCCTGTCTCTTTTCAATGCTTACTTGAAGAATAATTAAAGTTTCTCGTTAAATCTAGAAATTTCGAATCAATCAGTTGAATGTTGCGAATGTTTTAACAAGGTAGTTATTACAGTTATTAATTACAGTTATGATGTAAGTAGGTTCAGGTAGTAATATATATTTTCTTTATAAAGATTATTTTGAATAAAACCTTGAAAACATATTGAAAAGAATTTTCACGAAAAAATGAAAACATTTATTGAAAATCGAAGAAAAAAATGTTTTATCTTTTAAGCCTCACGTTATAAAAATTGAACGGAAAAGTTTATGCCATGAATCCTTGCAAAATGTATAGAATGAAAAATTCGCTTAAATTTTATTTTATTTCAATTAAATGAAATAAATATAGATGAAAATAATTGTCCAAAAATAATAAAACAATATTTATATTTGTAATTGTCAGATAAATTTGTAATGGAAAAAAAAAATGAATAAAAGCAATGACATTGAATACAGAATTTTAATTAAAATAATTAAAACTAATTATGTAAACAGTTTTTGTTCGTTCAAATCATGTTTTTTTTTTTCTATAAATATTTAAATGAGTTTGTCTTTTTATCTTGTCTTACAGGAAATGTTTATATCATATATTATCCATAAATTTCGAAATGTACTTTTTTCAATATCATTTAGGAAAAAAATACATGAATAAAAAATATGTCAATATGTGTATATTAATGATAACAATTAACATTTTACCGACGTGTATATTTTCAAATCCGCCATTATTCATTTGTCGTGTTATTTCATAGATCGTGCGCTAGATAGCACTAGCGATGACGACAGAACATCAGTTTAGTTTCTCATCATAGTCTTACGTGATACGGGATCAATAAACTGAAAGGGTTTCGTCATTCGAGGAAATTTAGAATTAATTGGGAAAGTTTATTGTGATTGATCGAACGCGAGTTCTCGTGAATTAGATCATAGTGAAATTCTTGATCGAAAAAATGGCAGATGAATGGAGAAATATGGTGGTGTTGTGCGTGAGATAAATTAAATTGAAAAGTGACGTATGAATCCTCGTGTCGTCCATATATGTATGATAGGAGGGAAACAGATGATTGTTATCGTGTAGGAGCAAGGAAATGTCATATGTATAAGTAATTGAAAAACTTTGGACTTTTAATCCCTATCGTATTTTAATATAATTATTTAATAACTTTAACTCTCTCTAAATTATACGTCATATATATATAAAACTATCTATCTATCTATCTATCTATCTATCTATCTATATATATACACTTACGTACATACATATATAGACTATGCATATAATCTAGCGTAAAAAGTTTTGCTTGGTCGAAGTGTTATTATTTATATCAGAGATATATGTGTTGCGATTAACAGTTTTACGTACTAGAGTGTAGAATAATAAAAAAAAAAAACTAGATAGTAAAGGTCAAGTGTCATTTTTATATATTCGACGAAGGTAATATTTTGTACAAAAAACATTGAAGACAAAGAAAGAACAAAGAATATATTAGAAAAAAAATGAGTTCCGTTTGGAAAAGACTTCAACGAGTTAACAAAAGGGCGGCTAAATTCCTATTTACCGTTTCGTATCATGAAGTTACCCTTGAGACAACATCGAAATGGTGAGTGTATCATCAGTATCTATTTATAAATTTGGAATATACAGATCCATATTTAAAATACCTTTTTTCAATTGCCTCACATGTTTACAACATGGTGTAACGTATATAACTATATTACTATTAAGTCAGATGATTTTGTTAATAATACTTATTATTATTTTGTATCCATTAGGAAACCAAACAAATTAAGCGTCGTATGGACAAGACGTAGTAGAAGAGTTAGTTCGGAACCCTTAGATTGGGAACCAAATTTAAGCGATCCCTTAAAGGGTGTTATTAGTTGGCCAGTACCGGACAATCATGCCGTTTCTGTAACATTGTTTAAAGATCCTCGGACTCATGAATTAGAAGACAAAGATTGGACTTTTGTTATTGAAGATGTAAGCTATACTGCATGCGTATTTCATTTTATCTTTATTGATATTTTATAAGAATTATATTTTATAGATATAATCTAATATATAACTCTAAATCGGATTAGATTCAATAATTAAATTTATAATACAGGTCTCATCGACGGGTAAAAGACGACATGTGGCTGCTGCGAATATAAACATGAAAAAGTATGCCACACTTGAATCTAGTCAACAACAACTTAAATTAGATTTGAAACCGACCTCCAAAAAAATTGTTAGCGCTACAATAGAATGTACATTGTCATGTGTATTTTTGAGAGAAGGAAAAGCAACGTAAGATTATCGTATATAATGAGATTTTGTTAATGAAACATGAAAATAGGGGATATTTATAATTTAAATATGTTTAATAGGGACGAAGACATGCAGAGTATGGCTAGCTTAATGTCGGTTAATAATAACAGCGATATTGCTCCATTAGATGATTTTGATAATGAGGATATACCCGAAGATGTAGAAGAAGTTATAGTTAAAAATATGGATGAAATTTTAGATATTTCTGCTCAACTCGATTTAATGACAAGTAGTCTTACAGAAAGCGAATTACCTAGCACTCCGATTAGTGGTAAACACTTTTTTTTATTATTTTTTATAACAACATTATAATTACAATGAAATGTATATCATTATTATTCTAAAAAGCAGTTTATATTTTTAATAGTGGCAAGTTTATCTAAAGATGATACAACTCCTGTGAACGATGAAGATAATTCCATACGTGAGATAAGTTTAACAGGAATAGGAGATTCGTTGAAAGAAAAATCACCTTTGAAAGATAATGTTGCAGCTGAAAATGAGTAAGTTTATAAATTAAAGATACTAAGAAAAAGAAAAATAATTTTATGAAGACATACTTTATTATTTATTATATATGTATGACATTTTACAGCAAAAACATTGAACATAGTTCATTAAGATTGCCATTGCAACCATTGGACTTTATAAAGAACGAAATGAATGTTCCTAGATTAAAAGAAGTTACACCTGGTCAAGATTTATTGGAATGGTGTAAAGAAGTAACAAAAGATTATCCCAGTGTTAAGGTTACTAATTTAACAACGTCTTGGAGAAATGGAATGGCTTTTTGTACCATTATTCATCATTTTAGACCTGACCTTATGTATGTTGAAACTAATATACTTGATAATCTTGAAAATATGGCAAAAAATATCTTTCGAATGATCTATTAATAAGTTTTTTGATTTTATAATTTATATTATTTTTAAATTATTTACATATATTCAATTGATGCAATACCATTAATATAAACATAATATTAAAAATATTTATCATATAAATTGTTTAACTTCATAGTGATATAGAATCTTTATTACCACATGATGTAAAAGGTAATTGTAAAAAAGCATTCGATGCCGGAGAAGCCCTAGGAATTCCTAGAGTAATAGAACCTGCTGATATGGATATCCTAACTGTACCTGATAAATTAGCTGTGATGACATATTTATATCAATTGAGAGCACATTTCACAGGACATGAATTAGAGGTATTAAATTGAATAATATTTTACTTTTTTAATTTATGATGACACATATATATATATTTAATTTTATTTATTTAATAATGATTATTTTTAGGTACATCAAATAGGTAAAACAACTGATGAATCTTCTTATATGATTGGTAGATTTAATACAGATAATAATACTGATGTAAGCGTACAATTATTCGGACAAGAAATAATTAATTTACGTAAAAAGGAGCAAGTTGAACAAAGAAATAAAATTGATAGTAATAGACGGTAAATTCAATTTATTGTAATCTTATCAATCAAATTATTGACATATATTTTAATGATTTATATTTATACAATTTATATAGGTCAAATCCATTTGATAATAATCAATATAAAAAGGATGATATCAGTATAGATACGATAAAAAATAAATTACATTTGAGTTTGAATGCAGATAATCAAGATGATCAATTTAATAAAGACAAATCACCTTCCAGCGTTAAAGATGTTAAAGATATTATATTAGCCAGTTCGAAAAGTATTTTGGGAAAAGTTTTGTCTCCTACGAAAGAAAAATATGTGACTAGAGAAAAAGTATGTATACTTTTACATATTTATTAATTTATGTAATATTAAATCAGCCTCTCTCTCTCTCTCTCTCTCTCTCTCTCTCTCTCTCTCTCTTTGTCATTTATATTATAATATATATATACATGGGTAACTGTTGCTAAACACTATGCCGTTATATACTCTCGACAAATTTTTATATTTAACATTGAAACATGGAGAATTGGTATAAATTTGCTACAGAGCAAGTCTCCATCCAGAATACCGCAAGTGCAGCAACGTCCTATACTTATGACTCGCCGACAATTAACAGACCCATTCGGGTCTGACGATGAGGAGGACAATATTCAAATTATCGATGATAAATGGTCACAATCAATTTCTATAACCAAATCGCAATCGCCAGTTCGTGATGTCAGTATAAATTAAATCGTGCGAATGATTGCTTCTTATGCATTTATTCTTTCATATTTCGCTATATATTAGCATTTAAATTTATAATGTTGTACGGCGTCTTCTTAAGTATCTCATGTGAATTATATCGATAAAAATTCATTTCAATATTTAGCTATTCTTATATAAATTATATATATAT